AACGAAATTTCATGACTCATCTTGGCGATCGTAGTGGCATCGACTAGCAGAGCGAATCATTTCATTAGTAACTGTCTCTTGCGTTATTTTTATTACTGTTACGAAATCTAGGGCTAGTTTAAGGGACAAATTTTTTCACCAAATGTATTTTATCACAAAATGTATCGACTTCGTTATCAATATCTCGTTGGCACGGAGAAATATAGTTCATAAAATACATATTTAATAATTATTTAAAGAGGGAAGAATTATTAAAAGTTGTCGACGTATTAAAGATTATTTATATTTATGTATTGTTACTAAACTAAAGAGAATTTACATAAAAATAAGAGAAAATGAACGCTGATGTAAATAACTCAAAGAGTTGCATTTTCCCTTAAGCATAACCCTATTTGAAACTGTTATATGTTTCCTCGAAAATTTATGAATCGCGCACTGAGCAAATGTATTTACATCTCTTTACGAGAAGACGTGTCCATAAGATTGAACAGTGCTGTTATTTCCTGTTCCCGATAATCAAGATCACGTGTTTGATTCACTCATTTTAACGGTGCTTCGCGACCTTTTGGAATTCGTCCCAATTTCAAATCAATATTTCAAGCGTAGCCTGTAAAACGAGCGACTTCGAGGCACCTAAATCACTTCGAGGATGTTCGAAGTTCGCCTAAGCAACGCAAGCAAGCAAAAGGTGTAATATCAGCTAGCTTAATATCAAACACACGTTGAAATACCGCAAACACATAATAATCAAATTACATATACGTTAAATAGATATGCGTGAAAGAACCTGATTACCTTAGACGTATGATAATTAAATGATAATTGTTAAGTAAGTGTAACTAGATTATAATCGGCGAATGGAAAGTTACTCTTTAAAAGTAACAAGTTACAGTTACTTGTTACCGAGTAGAAAAAGTAACAAATTACTATTACTAGAGAAAGTAACTTTTCGTTACTTTTTTCAAAATTGACGACCACCAATCACGGCGGACGGGTGTCTAGAGGCTTTCTAGTCTCAAGCACTATGAGTAGCTTGTGTCCAATCGTATGCAAAGTAACGATAAAAGTAACTGTAAAATTCGTTACCATTACAAAAAAAATGTAACTACGTTACAGTTATGAGAAAAAATAACGCAGTTATCAGTAAAGTTACCCAAAAAGTAACTTGTAACTGTAACTTCGTTACTAGTAACGAGTAACTTCCATTCCCCGGTTATAATACATAATTGCGAGGGCTGTCGCTACTAAGCGACACGATCTTCCGTTCATTAAGGATCTGCGATTTTGTCGTATTATATCGGTCCGTATTACACCGCTTTCTTACGAAACGATTTATAGGGTGTGATTGTAGGCAACGTGGGAAATCGTATGCTTGGCATGCAACATTTTTGTAACGTTGTATCTTTTGGGCGTCGTTTGAGAAGTTGCGTCATTTTCTAATTTCTCCGCTCATACCAATTACTTTCAGGAAGCTTTTTTGCATCGATCAAGGGCGGTTCGTTACATTAATTTCAGCCAGTAACAACGGAGAGACGAGCTCCGCACGTTCTTTGTGATTGTCTTTTCATCGATCCTCTTTTTTTTTTAGCCGCGTGATGAAACTTCTTTGCGCCTAAATGCCACGCAAGATAAAAATTAGATAAAATCGCGGGAGCAGGCAATAATCGTGTACCATACAATACCGCGGCCGAGACATAACGATGTTCAAACTAGTTGTAATAAGGAAATGTCTTTCATCAACTTTGTTAAACGTTATGGGAAGTACAAGCCATGTTACTGGACAAGTATGTGCGTGTATTTCTATATTTCAGTCTAGTTAACAGAGTGAGAAAACGTCTGACAGGGATTCTGCACAATCGATATATTGCATCTTCAGTGGAAGAAAATCCCAACTGCTAATTATTTTTCTAGAAATCAATTAGCAATGAAAGAAAGAAAAAAATATTTATATTATTAAAAATATTTATTAATTAATTAAATAATTTATAATCTAGTTATAGAAAAGTAATTAATCACAAAAATAAATTATATTAAACGATACAACCGAAAAGAAACTAAAGCGAAACTGTTTATCGCAACAATTTCAGCTTTCATTTTCTATAAATTAATTTTTCATCATATTTCTAGTAAAAATGGTAATTCTTATAGTTGCGATTTTTTTCTACTGAAAATAATATCAATCCTGAAAAACACGGTGCAAGGAGACGCACGAAGTAAACTAATAATGATGAAGCAAGTTGTGATTGAAGATTATAATCGGGGGACGTATTAAGAAGATAGGGTAAAAAAGAAAACAATAAATGGATCTACATGGAGAGTTATATCGTGCTGTGAACGAAATATTTATATTTTTACTTGAAAGAAAGAAAAGAAGGCTATGAGAGGAAACGTTTGTAATGTCGAATAACCGCGATAAGGAATGCGATAAGGTGCATGACGTTATTTTTCTAGACTCTAGAGTGAATATCTAAATAGTTATATTATTGCGTTATGGCGAAACATATTCTCAAGCGACAAGCAGGCCTAAACGCGACTTTTTACGATGATAGACTTAATGCGTGTACGAGCATATTTGGTAAAGAAGGAATACGTTTGTCGTTTATTTGTTTTGTATGTACTACTTGATGTTGTGCGTTGCTAAAGTTACTCCGCAAATTATACGACATGTTTCCTATAGATCGTGAGCGACTTTCCCAACCGGTTTGTATCCGTGTTGTTGCTGCGAGTTTGGTGTAATTATTCAAAGCGCTTGTACGTCTAACACTTGAGCAGTTACGTTTTCAATATAACTGCAGCTTTTTGGTATTATAGTCGCTTAATTGATTTTTCATTTTAATTGTGCTTATCTTATTCGAAATTTTTTCAATTATATGCTTCCTTTTCCAACGTCATTTATTTGAGAAGCAAATTATTACTTATTAATGATAAATAAAAAACTATTCGCGTAAGATGATAATTATGATTTTGCGTACGCAGTTGAGTGCATTCAACGCACATGTATGTATATACATGTATGTAATAATGAGATAAAGAATATATTATTCTTGTTTTTTACGCTTAATTGGCTTCTTTGTAACAATTTAATGATTGATGAGGAAATTCGTAAATATATCTATATTCTACGATAGTAAATTAATAACAAGTATAAATAAAATATATTATCTTGACGGCAGATGCACTCAATAATTTTCGAGATAACTTTGACTTAATAATCAAAATTTAATAAAAAAAATTCAATATTATAGTGCGAGCTAAAATAGTTAAGCCATAAAGACTGGCTATTGTAGCTATCATTCATAAAATATACGAATAATCAAAGGATTAGAGGAAAACAAAATAACGATATTTTAATATAATTAAAGTCGAAATTTAAAGAAACAAAATTACGTGAAATAGGAGAATAGAATAATGAAAACAAGTCCGTTTTAGTTGTCATTTTTAAAACGTTATTTAGTTACTTTTTTAACCTGTTTATTAACTGCGACTTTTCAAGTGAATACTCTACTCGCGTTTCGTCCTAGATAGGAGAAAAGTCAGAGAGGACAGGAATTCAGAAAAGAGTACTGTATGTCTGTTTATGCATGTGTGTTTGTGTGTTATGTGATGTTAAACGTACGACCATGTTACTGTGACGTTATGTACTATAATATAACACAACATAAAAAGTGGTGAACACTGTGTACTGGTGAAATGCAATACATGTATAATCGAGTTGCCCCTAAATACAGCCATTTTATAATGGATATTCGTCCGTAATTTCATTTTTTGACTTTAACCTTGCGTCAAGTTTATATAATAAAGCCTATTCTACAATGTGCTTTTTGTTTCTTGTTTTTTGCTTTTTACTACTTTTTACATCTTGTCTTCTTGCTTCTTATTTCTTATTCCAATTTTTTGTTTTATGTCGCCCGAGATAAAAATTAACGAACTTCGAAAAAAACAAAAAATACGTAGCAAGCAACAAAAAATATGTCTTTTGTAGTTTAGACATCGCTGAAAGTGATTCAATCCTCACAGATTAGATTTCTCGACGCCAAAGACATTTCAATTGATTGAAAATGAACCGCTGTAAGCTGTTTTTTCGACATGTACTTCTTCCAATTTTCACCAATTAGTGCTCTGCCTGTGTTAAAGCGCTGTTGCCTGGATGAGGATTCGGGCTCAAGCGACCGAAAAATGTTTTCTCGGCCGTTCGGCGTGTATCAAGAGGCATGGGGACATTCTAGATAAAATAACTTTTAATAAATCGTAATAATCATATACCTCTCCCATTAATCTAGAATATTATAAATCATGTATACACATTCACATGTATATTTTTATCGCGTTTTAATAAAAAACCAATGTAAAAATACAAGAAAAATCTCGATCGATTCTGGCGTAAAAAAGTTAGACAAAGTGATAATGAAATTGCTTATAATGAGATACTTCTGATAACAATTCGCAAAGTTTACTTTTAAAAGGACGATCGTAAGAAATACGGAATAGGTTAAACGTGATTTATGTGGAGAAAAGTAAGCAATGTCATACTATTAATTAATATATAAAACGCAATTGACTTAGAAATTGTTTATTAACAGGCAAAACAATATCATCAATCATACAAATAATCAATAATGCATCCTATAACTATCTTACGAGGGCACGCTGAGATTTCACTTACTCGAATCATGCGATAGACAAAGTACTCTCTCTCTCTTTCTCTCTCACTTTCTTTCTTTTCTCTTTTATACACTTCATTCAGAAACAATTGCCCTATATGCAATACGGTCAAAGATATACGCATGCATGCACGCATTAGATAGTATTGTATATTCTCGAACACATTTACACTTCGGATTCTCGACGAATATAATCGCATATAAATGTTACTAAACATTGTGGTAAAAGTTCTAACGTAACAGATGAGATACGAGAGAGGAGAGATACATAAATCAAATCTATTTACATATAAAGATCATCTCGCATTTATATCGGAATTGTAAAAAAAACGATATTAAGTTGCACGATTGCTTTATAACATATGTAAAAAAATCTGATACGTAATTATTGACACTGGTAGATGCAAAGTTTCACAGTCAATATAAAAATGTTCTCAGCAAATCACTTTTTCAGAACCACAGACATATTTTATCAAAAAGAAAAGAACTTTCTGTTCTTTGTCGTTCGTTTGCCGACAATAAATCGTACAAACGCGTGAGATTTTTTTATAAAAAATAAATTGCTATGTTGTATCTTGTCTATATGGATGTGAAAATCATATATAATTAACAAATAATCTCTATCGACATTTTTAATTAAATAACAAGTTAGTAAATCAAGAAATCAATCTCATTCCACGAAAAGTATAGAGGGAATAAGTTGTGGAGGAAAACGGATTCGTCGAGGTCTGAGAAGACTCGCGTTACAAACGCACTACGAAAATAATATATATCTATATCGAATGTTGGAAAATCCCCGATTGCAATTCACTTTTTCTTTAGTATACTGCATATAAATTAATTACGAAAATTCCACTGTATTGCGCTCGATCTCATTACAGTTCATCCTTAACTATTGTATACCTATTTTTGCTTGGCGCCAATTTTTTAAACGCGGACTCTGGAGGCGTTGTAGGCGTTTTTACTTGTTTTCCAGTAACTGACATTTCATTGTTAGTGATATCAGGACCGTAGTGAAACTCGCGATGGAGCTTTCCAGAATACAAGTCCTGTAGAAAAGCTTTCAGTTTTCCTTCTACAAAAATGTCATTGAAATCATTGAATAGGTACATGTGTCTAAAGCTATCTATTGCAATCAATGGCAAGTCTGCTGTGCTTTTCCCTAAATGGTGCAGCGGATGCGCAAATTTCAGGCCGTCGGCGGTTAAGAAATTTATATTCTCTGGAAAAAAAAATCAAATCAGCATGATTTGAAGCTTTACGAAAAAATAATATAAATAATGTAAGCAAAAATAGAATGACATACGTTTTTCACTTAATAATGACTTAGTTACGATATATTTGTATTGCTTGACGCTTTGTAAGTCATCAGGAGCATGAAACAATATAAGAAATGGCAAGCCTTCCTCTGTTAGTTCTTCAGCATTTTCGAATGTTATTTCTCTTACAAATGGTACACACTTCTCCTGCGCCCATACATTTAATTCGTCATAAACTGATAAACTTCCTTTGTAAGTTTCATCCATTTCAACAGATAAAGCCTTGTCTGATCGGAAGGCAATGATAGGCTCTCCAGGAGGATGCATTGCTTTACTTGCATTCCTACACATATTTCAATATATTCAAACTACAGATCTTTATTCAGTAGTAAATATATATTGTTTCAGTCACACATTAAAAACATATAGAAATATAATTATAAAAGGAAGTATTCTCATATTATTCAATCTATACAATATAAATAAAGCATTTAATTGAACTAATAAAATCTCATATAATTAAAATAAATTATTAAAAAATAAATATCAATTATTCATTCATCTTGTGTTAAATTAACATAAAAATTTGAATGAATCGTTTGTGAAATGTATTAAATTCAACAATTTTTCAACTGTGTACTTTGATATACTATGAAAAACGTGCCTATAAAATAATGATATCTAATATAACCTTTACAGACTAAAAAAGATACAATAAAATTGTATATTATGCAGAAAATAAAGAAACAATATAAAATAGATAATAAAAAATATAATTTTGTATATACTCAGTACAAAAGCCATGAGCTTATGTATACCACTTACTTACAGCAAATGTAAATGCTGACCAATTTCACAGTTTTGATTGGAACATGTGCTTGTTAAATAAAATATTATAATTATAATATTATGATTATTAAAATGCAGATTATATGATATTGTTATGTTAGCAAAAAAAATTTCTTATCAGTTTTTTAAAGAAATATTTGTATCATAAAGAAAAATTTTTGTTACAATAATATTTTATTGTACCAAAAATAAAAAGAATCTTACCCAAAACCAACATAAAATTGGCAATCATCCTTCAAATTAGTGGCAACTTTTCTGAACAATTCATATTCTGGTACATCTTTTCGTTCAAAGTACCCTATAATCATACGTTTTTTATCGTCAAGCTGTTCAAGCTCTTTCAAGTCGGAAAATTCTTTAATGGGATCTTCCAACTGCTTTCTGACAAATTCTTGGAATGCTTCTACTGATCGTTGTCCTCTGTATTCTCTCTTAGTCGGTTGACCATTTCTTATTACTTTTAACGTTGGATATTTGGTTATATGAAACCTAGATGCTACAGAAGCTAAGAAAAAAAAAACTTGTATTAATTTAAATGTATACATATAAAACCTAATCTATTTAATATATATATATAAATTAATATTCAAATTCTGCTTATATCTGTTTATACCATGCATTTTATAGTCACATTTTAGATATATTTACTTTCGCGGTCACAATCCACTTTAGCCATTACTACTTTTCCAGACTGTGGAAATTCTTCTTTAACCTTATCTGCAGCTTCATCAAATATTGGTGCTAATAAGTTGCTGAAACGACACCATTGTGCATAAAAGTTGATAAACACCAGTTCATTGTCAGCTGCAAACATTCATAATTAAAAAAATAGGTACTACATTCAGTTATATTTATTAGCATTAATATTTACTACACATCATGTATATGAATCATCATTTAAATAATGTATTTTACCTAATGTTTCGTCAATATTTTTACTTGTGAGTGAAAGGGCACCTTCTTTTACTTCCTCTGCTATATTGTTTGGCAAACGTACCTAGAAATACACAGTATTAATTATGCATCATACATCTGTTTTATTAAAATCTATATCCATATTCATAGTTAAATCTTATATTTAAGGAAGTCTTAAATATAAGACCTGACTATATGAATACAGGCACTAATGTATGTCACGCAAGTTGATCTTTTACCCTCAGATTCCACAACTCAGGATTAACCGAGATTTAAATTATTTTTTATCTTTTTCTAATGCTAGAATTGAAAAGAGATGAGTTGAACCTCGGTTAAGAGTTAACCATGAGCTGTAAAATTGGGTCTTAGTAATAGTTATGTATTATGTATTTTGGAACAGAATAGTTAAACATTGTCAGATACATATAATTTACTTTTATCGATATACGACCTTTATTCTGAATCATAAATCCTCTACCCTGATGATTTTTAGGCCATTATAAATATAGATTACAATATGATAAATATTACAGAACTACAGCAATAAGCATATAAATAAGAATGCTATCTGTTATCTACAAAGTATTCCAGTAACGTGGAAGTATGCGAGGATATTTTAAATTACCTTTTTGCAGCAAATCATGCAAGATCTTTTTTTTAAAATCAATTTATGTGTAGATTGATTAGATTGCATTTTTTCATATACAAGATTATTGTATTACGACGGTAGAGGTTATGCAGCATAAACACAACAAGGCAGAAGCAAATTGTTGATTTGTGCAAGGTGTTTAGATAAATAATAATTGGGAGATAAAAAACAAACAGAAACATACGTTGTGGGTGACTCCCGTTAATAGGTAACTATTAAATTGACACCTCGCAAGACGTCAAATGACGTGGCAACGCAACGACGTATTTAATTACTTACCAGCAGACACGCGAACGTAAGTACTTTGAAGTGAAATATATCACAGTGGGACAGCATTTTGCGATTTCGCGACGACTAACTCGACGGTACGATGAGTTTTGGAAACACCATCAGTGAACGACCGCCTGTGCGTCAATTGCTACGAGCTAGCGGCACATCGTCAAATCGAGCGTGGAGCAATGAGCATCCTCGAGACTCGAGACATCGATTATCGCCGCGTCTGCCGATGATGTTTTTCAAAATTCCAGTAGATGGCACCTCATAATTACACGCCCGCGAGTATTCTACAGTTGCGTTTCATCTCGCTTCGATTTTTTAATAATAAATATAATCCTGAATAAGTTTAATTTGCTATTATTGATATTTTTAATTTGGAATTAAAAAGATTTTAACATCAATCAGAGAGACGAAATAAGATATCTTTCAAAATTCTTTATATATGTCAGCTCTTGAGTCTGAATCATTCTGTATATATGTAATAAATAATAAATAATAATTAATTTTTTGTCGTTGTCTAACCTAATAGCATAGAAAAGAACTACAAAAAATTATTGCCTACATTGTCAATAAATAAAATGAACAGCTTTGTCCAAATTTCTACGTTATCGACAATTGAACAATTTTGTGCCGACTCGAACTATTAACTATCGATAATGTACTGCTAATAATATACAGTATGCTCTGTAAGATGACGTTGTAAAAACATACAACCGGTAATCTTATATTCTTATTTCGTACGTCATATTATTTCGCTCCAATCGTATCTCTACTTGTTCACTGACAATTACTGGTATCAGTACCAATCTGTATTTACTCGTTCATGACGTTCACGTCATACGGTAGATGATCAACAAGCGCAGAAAAGAATATAAAAAACCGGCTACGGCGTAGAGATCTGCAAGGTCGTGTTTTTCTCTTTTGTTAAATTTTCTTTAATTAAACGATACTCTAATCTATTTCTAATGTTAAATAATTCTTAATGATTGAGTGACATCAAGTAATTTCGAACTGCGTTCAATGATGTATTTTTTTTACAGGATAATGATTCGCTTTATTAGCTTATTGTAAGGTTTGAGTGTCAAGAATGGAACACACGGGACAAGTACTGTTCGCGATACTCATTTTGTCGGTGTTGCATTGCACAACTTCAACGTATTTCGGAGATGTATTCGCACAGCAAGCTGATGAGCCCTCTAAAATTGGTTGGCTCTTCTCCGATAACTTTGTCCAAGTTAAGAGGATTCAAAGATCTCCATACGATCTTAAGAGAGAATCCGAGGATGATGGTTCGCCAAAGATCATCAATGGTCAATGCCGGGATAAGTTGAATCAGCTTTGCGGGGATATAGATAGGAATAACGATGAGCTTATGCTGCTCGAATGCATTCAGACTTTCAAGGTATATGTCTACACTATATAAAAGAGCAGGATGAATATTAGATCTAATTGTTGTTGTAAACTTTTTCAGCCCACTGAGATATCTGGAATTAATCAGAAATGCCAGGAAGCAATTTGGTTCTATATCCAAAATATCACAGATAATCAAAACATAGAAAGGCTAACTAGAAGAGTGTGTGGTTCACAATTGGATAACTTACAGTGCTCCAGTTCTGACAAAATCCATGGAGCTTATTTATCTTGTCTGATCGATAAACGAGAGATGGTTAGAGATCCTGACTGCATCACTTATATTCAGAGATTAGAGTGGATTGCTTTCAGCGATTTCAGAATTCTGACTCCCTTCAAGACAGACTGTGCAAATGATATTAGAAAGTTTAAGTGTGACAGTTTACAACCATACAGAGATATATCACAAGGTCAGATATTAGCTTGCTTGCAAGAACACGTCGAACAACTGCAGCACGAGTGTAGGAGGCATATTCTCCATGTATCTGAAATTCAAGCTGAAAATATCAGATTAGATCGTCAACTGTACATGGCTTGTACTCATGATCGCACTAAGTTTTGTCCTAATATTCGACCAGGCAGTGGTCAAGTCTATAAATGCTTAATGAAATATAAAACTGACAGGTAGATATTTAAATGATAATCTAAATGTATATAAAAAGTTAAATATTGTTACTTTATTGGTGTAAGAGATTTGTTAATCTAGAAATCTTCTAGATATGTACAATACATATACATATATGTATTTGAGATTATTTTTATATTGACAGATCGATGACTGCACAGTGTCAGGAGCAATTAACAAGGAGAGAGAAGCTTATTGCTTCTGACTACAAAATTAGCAAAGGCCTTGTTAAGGCATGTAAGGAGGATATTAGAAATAATCACTGCAGGCGGTCCGTGTCCGAGGATAAAGAGATTAAACTGGCGCAAATTTTGCTTTGTCTGGAGTCTGCAATGAAGAATGGCAGCAAAATCGATGGAAATTGTCAAGCGGAAATGTTTGATCACAGGAAATTATTAATGGAAGATTACAGATTATCGCCAGAAATTGTACACAAATGTGCCAACGACATTACGACTTTTTGTAACAGTCTCGAGGTCGGTGGTGCCACAATACATTGTTTAATGGAACATACGAGAACAAGGAAAAGAAAATCGAGAGTCGCGCCGGAATGTCAAAGAGCGGTAAATAATTGATAGAAGAATTAAGAGTTTTTTAGGATGGATTTTTTTCTAGAATTAATAATATACTTATTTACAAAATTCTTTGACTGATCTTCTAATATTTGTAAAAATGTTATGTTGCAAAAAGAAATTTCATAATCTTTTAATGAAATATGTATCACGTAATCATGTAATTTCACAGTTAGAAGAGTTAATTATAGAAGCTGATGCTGGCGAAGATTGGAGAATTGATCCAGTTTTAAGAGAACAGTGTCAACCTGTGGTCAATTTAGCTTGTAGAGATGTAAGTGACTTATTTTTACATACCTAGAATATTATAGATTTTAACCCAGCTTACATAACTAGTGATTTTGTATAAAAAATCCTGGACTCTACATAAAATTTTAAACTTGCTTTTTTTATTCAATTATATTTTGCAGCTTATGTATTTGTCAAATGCATTTATTATTTCTTGTTTTTATTAAATATTTGAATATTGAATTTAGGTACACGGTGGAGATGCTAGAGTAATATCTTGCTTAATGGAACAACTAGGAACAGAACGAATGACCGAGGCCTGTGAAACTGCCTTGGTGCAAATACAGTATTTTATCGCCAGAGACTTCAAACTTGATCCGCAATTGTACAGAGCGTGTAAGTTCGATGCCGTTCGTTTGTGTCACGCAAGAAACGCATGGACTGGCAATGGTAAACAAATGGATCCTGAAACTGGACCACTGGTATTGCCATGCTTGTATCGGCATGTGTACCAGAAAAATATGACAGTAAGATTATTAAATGTATAATTACTTCTTAATTGAAGTTAAAACTTAATAATTTAGTTTTCAAATTGTAAGAATTTACGTTATTAACACTTTATTATTATATTTTTACAAAAAATCTCGTTCTTAACTATTTCTTTTTTAATATTCCATTTAGTTGAGAGCGGATTGTTTAGAAGAAATTAGACGAGTCATGAGGCAGCGTGCTATGAATGTTGATTTGCAACCCGAAATAGAAGAAGTATGTTTCAATGAACTAGCAACACTTTGTTATGACAAAACTGCAAAGGGAGAAGAAATTCTATGCTTGCAGGATAATTTAGAGAAGTACTGATTATCTTGAATAATAGAAATTACACAAGAAAAATTTGAAAAAGCTTGAAGAATTACACTGTTGATAATTTTTAATTATTTTATAATTATCTCTCGCATACGTAATGTTTTGATGAATATTTTTGTTGCAACTTTTTCAGAAGTATAATTCCGAGCTATTTTTTTTATATTAAATTTTAGTTAGATATAAAAATATTAAATTTTTTGTTCAAATTTACATTAATTATAGCTTGAAAGAAAAATGCAAGTTTGCAGTTGGCAATTTTACTGAAGAACAAGCTGAACGTGTTGAATTGAATCCCATAATTTCTTCCGCATGCCAACATATTATGGAACGTCATTGCGAGGTACGCCTTTAATTATTCATTTTATTGTTAGTATTTATTACTATTATTTTTATTTTATTGTTAATGGTGTTTACTCTTTTTAGGAAGTATTAAATATAAAATATGGAAAAGATGAAGGAGATATGATGGAATGTCTTATCGAGCATAAAAACGAGCTGGATGCACGCACCGACTACAAATGTAAAGCAGCTGTGGAACATTTTCAATTGATATCTTTAAAGAATTATCATTTTACATACAAATTTAAGGAGGCATGCAGGCCTTACGTTAAGAGATGGTGCCCTAAGTAATTCAATTTCTTAATATATAAAAATTTTAATATTTTGAACGTAAAATAAATTGTGTAATATATTATAACATAGATCGAAGACAAAGGCCAATGTGATAGAATGCTTAAGCTCCATTGTACAGGAAGATATAATGAAAGATTCTCAGCATCGTGTTATGAAGGATTGCAGACAACAGCTGCGAGCACAACTTTATCAGCAACGAGAAAATATTAATTTCGATCCGTTCCTGCAAGCGGCCTGCGCATCAGACGTCAAACAATTCTGTTTTAATGTGGAACCAGGCAATTCACAGGTATTGACAGTGTTTTGATATACACTGAAAATTTATAGTATATACGTAACATAAACTATAGATTTTCAGTACAGGCAGTGTATATCAGAAAACAGCTAATGTCATTTAAGACAATGCTTTTTTTGTTTTTTTTTTATATACAATTTCTAATTTTCGACTAATTTTCGACAATTTTTAGTAATTAATATCTTGTTAACTATTACGAAAATTGTAAAATGGCAAAGGACTTTTCTTTTCAGTTTAGTCCATTTTGCCCTTATGCAAAAGATTTTTCATTAATTATCAAACACCCTGTATATCGTATACATATGTATAAATGTTGAAAATGGAGAAAATATTTTTATTAAATATTACATTTTTTCAAGTTAGAATATAAACCTACTTAATACTTATTATATTTTCATTGTTCAATATTTGTTAATAACAACTGGTATCTGTTCTTTGTTTTCTAAATTCTGTTGCTGGCTCTTTGATTAAATAGCTGCTCTAGCAAATTCTAATGTTATGATAAACTTTACTGAAACTTAAGTTATTTTAGGTATTAGAATGCTTGGCATCACACAAGTCTAAACTATCGGACATGTGTCATAAACAGCTGTTCAAGATAAGGAAACAGGAGTTTCAAGATAGTTCTAGTGATGTTCCTTTACTGAGCATCTGCCGAGCTATGATAAAACAGTACTGCCATGATGTGAGCAAATCACAAACTTTGGATTGTCTTAAAAGATACAAAGACGAACTCACTTTCGACGATAAATGCAAAAACATTGTGGTTCGAAGAATGATTGAACAAAATACGGATTATAGGTTCAATACTGCATTGCAAAATTCGTGTGGCTATGACATCGAAAGACACTGCAAAGAGGTAGAAAAGAAAATCTATATGTAACTAATTTAATCCTCTAAGACCATCCTGAATTTTATCATCTCAGAATAGTCAGATCTATAGATCACGGATCGCGGAGCTCGCTGAAGAAACTGTTGTGTTTTTCGAAAGGTTTTTGGATTATAAAAAATCTGAAAAAAATCCCGATATACTCTTTCAATATTTAAGAATACAAATGTACGGTTTTATGATCGAAAATGTTTTTTGGTACATGTTTGAATTTGAGGTAGAATCGGAATAAAATGTAAAATGCATTTGTTGCAATAAAAATTTATAATTTTTTTTATATGTGTATAAAAAAAATCTTTTTAGTCTTAAACAGTCCAAAGATAATACTTACGAAAAAAAAAAAATAATAGTGGTGCCTGCTTCAAAAGAGTATAATTTTTGATAACCTAAAGATAGTAATTATGGTTTATAAAAAATACTTTTCCAAAAAAATCAGTATTTTATTTTAGAAATGATTACTTAAAACAAATATAAATAGTTTGAAGAAAAATGTATTTATTACGTATACATATGTGATACTCCCACCTTAAGTACGGGCGAATCTGTTCTGAATTTCTACTTCTATTATGATGCCAAGTAGTTCACGGTGTGGGTTAACATAGTTTAATAATTAATTTATGAATATATATTACTATAGGTTATAATACACGAACGCACTGACAAAGAACTCGAAGGAAAAGTAATTAGATGTTTGAAGATCAGATTTCGGGAATCGAAGCTGACAACTAAATGCGAGCATCAAATGGCTAACATTCTCAGAGAAGCTGCATTAAATTATCATTTAAATCCGTTATTAGCAACGATGTGCGCGCATGAGGTAAAAAAAAATCATAAAATTATAATTTACTATTTATCTCATGAAAAATTAAGAATTTATATTGAATAATTTATGTTGAATACTATTGCATAAGACTTTATAGAGAGAGTTATTATAGAATTCAATTTCAAACAAGTTTACGAAATTTCTCTTCTGTTTTTTAGATTGAAACTATATGCCAATCGGATGAAAACGAGCCTGGTGCTGTTGAAGAGTGTCTTAAAAGGAAATTCAATGCTGGAAATCGAGATATGAGGGAAGAGTGTCGTTTGGAAGTTGCGGATCTGATAGAACAAAGCAAAGCTGACATCAATGTAGATCCCTTATTGCAGAAAGCTTGTGCTGTGGATATCAGCAAATATTGCAGTGCTATACCTCAAGGCGCGGGAAGACGTATGTAATATTGTTTATTAGTAACTACAGATTGAAAATACAAGGTAATTTCGTCAAGAACGAATCCTTCCAAATTAAAATCTACTAAATTTTATTAATTTTTGCATGTACATGTATGTGTTAAATATAATAGAATTAATAATTTGAATAATAATTGTATTAGATATAATGTGCTTGCAAAATGCGCTAGAAGACAGTAATAAATCCTTGCAACCTGATTGTTACAAAATGTTGACTACGAGAATGGAAATGTTTAAAAATGCTGCCAAGGTCTGTAAAAAAATACCATTATACATATCTATTAATTTTTTTGCTTATCTCGGAATAATTGTATTTTACTTATTGCATTACAGTTAATCGCGCCAAATACGTTCGAGGAATTATACACGACGGTAAATCGTTCTCCAGCGAGGCGTTACTTCATAATCGTTGGTTTTACTATAATCGGAGTGATTTTCATCGTTGGCATGTTCTGCGGTCGCGTGACCAGGCGGACGATGATTATGAAAAACAAGTGACGACACACCCGTCCACTAGTGAAATGACTTTCGTGAAATTAGTCGAAGGATTGTAATAGACTACACATATGTGTTGATATGATCGGAGTGCAAGTTCACGATAAAAGAAAAAACATTGGTCTTTTTATACCTTTGTTTATGAAATATTTTAAAATGCGGACCTTTGTATTAATAATTAGGGGGGAGGCTACGAAGTTTTTAACGTGGCTGTTACATACACGCGATATTAAATGCAAAACGAAGATCGTAAGCGTCTAAGAATATACGAATATTCGAGGATTTAACAACATAAGAAGATTTAAATATTTAGATATATATTATACTGTAACATTATGATTCCAAAAATACAGGGTGTTCTATAGGATTTGTAACAAACTTAAAGAGCTCATTTCTTTATACTCGTCGAAAAGAACGCTCTCAAGTTTGTTACATGAAATAACGAAAGAAATTATGTTGTTTGATATTATTATTTTATATTCTGTACATGTATTCTGTACTGTAGAACGAAAGAAATTATGTTATCTGATATTATATTCTGTAGATTGAGATTACCGCGAAAGAAAGAGGTAATTTATTCATTTTCTCGTAGAATTTATTCGTAGGATTTTTAAAAAGCAATAATTTTTTTCTTAAGGCGAGCGATATTTTATCTTTACCTGCGAGCAATTTATTTGGAAACAAGGAATAAAAAACAGTGGAATAAAATAACCAGCGAATTCATTCGCCTTTGTTAGCAAAGACGCGATTTTAACGAGAGAGCTGCCGACATGCCAAAGATTCTTGGAAATATATGCCGCCCAAGAGACGAGTGTGTGTACTGTTGTTGCCTAGAGTCCGTTCCGATTAAAAAACCTATACGCGGAGAGAGATCGTAAGTGGCAAAAATACGAGCACCTAGTTATTTGAAGTGCCGGGGGTGTTCTGTCTCTTCCTTCTCCCAGAGGTTTCGTTCAATCTTTGCGATGAAGTTGGAGAGAAAACGGGAGCATACATGCCTGAGGGTTCGTCACGGTGCTGGTTCTCGAATAACCAGTTTGAAGCGACTGTGCAACGATTATTCCCGAGAGACCCTCGAGGTCATCCCGCGAGAACGACTCCGTGTACAAGCCTTCCCATGACGACAGAAGGACAAGTTTCTGCGACTCTGATGAGCTTTCTGTACCTCGTGTAATATGAAGATTCTGTACAGAGCTTGCGAACGAAGTGTGTTTCTAATTGATTTAAATCCAAAGAGACACACGCTCGATGGGCACAAGTTAGTCCGAGTCTTCCATTCTTCAAGCCTCAATTCCTCGCCTGTGACTTTAATACAATGTGCACATATACGCCTATATCTTCGGCTCTCATGTAAATATATACAAGAATTATAAATTTTTATTTGTCAGAAATATATATACGTATATATAATATACATATATACATATGTGTGTGACGAAATAGCAGCATCAATTATTTACCACATTTCTAATTATCTTTTCTAGATGAACGAGTAACTTAATTGCGATCCTAAATAAACGAACAATTCTTTTACAGATAAAAAAATATTAAGACGAAAGCATGAATTTTTGCGTAATAATCACGCATAATTTTGTCGAGGTCGAAGAGAAACGCGCGCTTTACTCTAAAATGTTAAACTAAAAAAAAATATAATTTAAAGCTCATCGTTAATTATATATAGCATGTATAATTGACGATGAGCTTTCAATTTTTATTATAATTAAAAATGTTACGAAAAGGTTTCGGATTAATTACGATTACATTAAATTGTATAGGAAAATTATCTTCTATATATGCGTCACTTTAATTGCGATCCTATATAAATACATAAGTAATTTGAGTAATTTCACAAAAAATATCATTGACAAAAGCATAAATTTTTGCGCTCATAATCACTGGCTTTCATCAAAACAAAAGACACACTAAAATGCTAAACTCGAAAAATATAAAAAATTGAAAGATTTATTAATTGTTATTGTCCATTATATCCATTATTATTATTATTATTATTATTTATTTTAATCCTTGCCTTGCGGCTTTGGATGGCTTCCAGTCTACATTTTTCCACATTGTTCTTAATTTAATAAACATATACATATAAATATTTATAAGATCTCTAAATACATCATTATATCCATTATATTTTTAATATTAAAAAAATAATACTACATATTTTTTCTGCTGTATTTTTAATATTTTAAATATAATATAACATTTTTTTTAATAAAAAATGCATTGCGAGAAAATATCTCGGACTAATTGCGGATGTTACATTAAATTTTATGGAATAGTCGATCGTTTACCATTGGTTGTGTGCATGTTATCAATTTTTTAACGCAATCCGCGATAGAAAGTAAACGCGTTTAGCTGAGTGGTTCACCGCGACGGAGAGCCCGCCATATTTACTTTGCGCCGCGTCGCATCAGTTCGAAAAATCGTCACGCCTCGCTCGCGTTTTTCAGTCCATCACGAGTTAATTGCCTGGTGAAATACGAAGTTCCTTTCCCCTGCGCTGAAACGGGGCGCATAATGGAGTTAATTAGCGCATGCTACCGTTGCAGCCAACTGTGTTGCTCAATATTCGCAATTATCCACACTGATCACGCGCGCAACATCGCGCGCGGCAACAGCAACAACAAAAAAAGAAGAGAGAAATAAAATAGGTAAATAGAATAGAGAAATAAAATAGATACTAAAAGAGAATAAGCGCGAATTTTTTTTAATTTGTGAGACTGAATTTTAATCCTTTGAAAAATTATTGATTAATAAAGTTTTTAAATAAATTTGCGGCGCAATTTTTTTTAGGTTAAGCGAGAACGTTGACAGGCTATTCTTTTAGCGCTTTCATTTTTTTTTTTTTATTTGTTTCAACAAAGAGGAGTTATGATAAATTTTTTTATACTTTTATGTTCTATGAGGGAAAGCAAAAAAATTCGGTCTTGTTCCGAAATATAATCTTTTTGTATCGATCCGTGTTTATAACGTAATATGTTAACAAATCTAGATTTTATGTATGAGATAATCTGTATTTACATTTTACTTTTATTAATTAATATACACGCATTTATTTTTTAAATTCTATATGTAACACAAGATTGTGCATTTACGTGCAAAATATAATAATATACATTTATGTATATAAGTAAATTATAGATATATTATATTTTACGCAAACCCTCATTTATGTAAACAATCTATGATTCATCGAAGCTTATGTTCTTTGTCGTTGCACTAGAGTTTTTATCTTTTTTTTATGTTTTTATTTATGAATATTAAAATTAGATGCATTAATTAACAATCGTAAAAATTTATGTATTTTACATTGCTTGATTCGTTTATATAAAAAGATTCGTGTAAACTTAACGTTACGTAAACAATTCCATGTAAACTTAATCATAAAATATAGGGCAGGACCTTGATGTAATGTAAACTGCGTGCTAAATGTGCACATTTATCGATATAAAAGTGAAGTGTGAATACGAACCATATATACAAGAGAGCCTCTCACAGACTTGTTAGCGCGCTAACATTATAAGCACGTTCTGAATACGGACCTACGTCTCTTGTGATAAATCGATCGCAATAATCAAGATATCAATACGTACTTCAATACGTACATTCTCTCGCGCGTACAGTATATTGATATCTCAACATTCAAAAGATAAGGTCTTCAAACGCAGAGATAGAAATGAGAGATATCAGAATTTGGCGATTTTTGACGAAACTCGAGGTGTGTTATCGTCATATTTATCGGTTTATGTGGGTGCATGCATGCACGTAATTAGGCGTTTGTTTCCGGGTTGAGCTCGCAAATCGACATCCTTATTGGTAGTAATCAGAGAGATCTCAACTTCGATATTCTCGGCGGAAATTAAAAAGATTTGATTGTATAGCTTGAAATTAGATGAAAATGACAAAAGTGAGCACATTTATTAGAGACTGACTAATGAAATTATAAATATTCTAATAAATTTGCTCATTTTTGTAATTTTCATCTTATTTTAAGATACACAATCGTTCTGCTCAATTTTATCGTCTGTTTTCAGGCGGAAGCTGAATGAATTTCGACCTCAGCCCCTTTCCTCCTTTTCGGAAGTTGAAATGTCGTCAATAATTGTGTGAGACAACTCGGTAAGTGGATCCTGCACATTGAAATTATTTGTCGTCTTTGTAATAATATGATCGCGCGACAGATCGTATTATTTGAAAGTTGAAATTTATTAATTTATACCTTTTCAATAAGATTACAATCAGATTAATATTAAGCTGTTCGTCTCCAAATATAAATTTTAACACGTTTTTCGTATCTAATTTTGTTTTTTCATACATTTTTCGTACTTCTGTTTCTTTTTTTTTTCTTGGTCGAGCCACACATTTATCTTTTTTTTATGATTCGCACTATCCCGAGTGGCCGATCGCAATTCGATCAACTCTCTGATTTTTGGGCTTCCTTTTTTTCATCTCGTCCGAAGCGTGCATTTTTCGCACTCGAGAGCGAAAGGGTGTTTGGTTGGAACTAGAAAATTATAAAAAATATAAAACAAGGAAGCCGTACTCTCCCCAGTGACGTTAACTTACACATCACGTTGGAAATACTATATCAATAACTTTGTATGTCATACGACATACAATACGATACGGTCAACATTTTTCGGAACATGGATTAATTCGTGGAATTTTTGTAAAACTAGAAAACTTGTGTTTGAAATGTATTCAGATTTTATATAAAGTACATACGTTTCAAGTTAAACGTATATTAGCTAAGATTTCTAACATCGCGTGATAAATCTCGTTGAAATTTTCATAAAAAATCATAGAAATGTCCGAGTTTCTTCTTTCTTTTTTCTCTTTTACAGCTGTGATTAATGTAACAATTTTGATTGTTTATCGAAATTAGCTTCCCTAATCTGTTTACCTCAACTACCGCAATTGTTTATTTCCTTTATCACGATATAATTATGCGGCTATATGTTATATTTGGAATTGAAATTTATTGACTCGTGCTTTTCAAGCTTAATAAGCTTAACGGGCTTAATATTAGTCATCCCTAAAAGCTTAATATTAGGCTTTTAATCAAATATTTACGATACGGAATGAAACGAGATGAATCATAACAGGCGAAAAAATCGGGTCAAATGAATAAAGATG